CGAGGAAGAGGAGCAGGAGGAGGAAGAGGAGACAGGGGTTAAGGGTTATGAAAACTGTTCTGGGTTTAATGTAAATGTTGAGTTCAATAAAGTTAAAACCTGTATCGCGAGCATCAGAGCGGCTACGACGAGGTACTCGGGATCTAAAATACAGTTTAATCGGGCTGAACAGACGGAAGTGTCCGATAGACTAAATGATCTATCAGACATCTTCACAGCGTTTGCTATCGCGCTAGGGGAGATTAAGGGTAAAGATAGAGGGGGGAAAATAAAGGGGAAGGCGAGCGTAGATAGGGAGGGGGATAAGTTGGAAGGCATATTTAGAATGTGGGCGAAAAGGACGGAAGATCGATTCTTAAGGTTAGAGAAATGTATTGTTGAGAATAGAGTTGTGAAGACACCACTGAGTTTAAATCAAGGGGGTAGCATGTCAATGGGAACAAATGAGATGATGACGGTTGAGACACCAGTTGAGATACCGAAGACAGCACCCATATTACAAACGAAAACTTACGCACAAATGACCGCAACACGGGATGTTGAAGATAAGAGGCCAAAGACGTGGAAGACCCCAGAGGTTCCAAGAAAGAGGGAAATTGTTGTGGAGGGGCAGGAGCCTAATACCAACGTCATGACGGCAGTCAAAGATAGGCTGTCGTCGGATATTGTGGGCAAGGATGGAGTGCAGGGTATTAGGAGGTATGCAGGGGGAACTTTAGTGGTGGAGTGTAGGGATGAGGAGCAGTGGACGAAAGTGGGTGAAAGATTGAAAGGGGATAGTAGGGTTAAAATCATTGAGAGGGGAATTAGGAAGCCAGAGATGGTAGTGCTGGGTATAGAGAGAGAATACAGTGACCAGGACTTTGTGGAGGGGCTAGTCAGAGAAAATGAGGACCTGATTGAAACCATGGGAACCAGGGAGTTGAAAGATGTATTCAAGGTAGTGGCAAGGAGGAAGGGTAGAAGTGAATACAGGGAGCATCTGGTGCTGGAGGTGGCACCAGACGTATTTAAACAGATTATGAGAAGAGGAAGTGTAACGTTTGATTTGGTTGTTCACAGAGTGGAAGAGAATGTGAACGTTACAGTGTGTAGAAGATGCTGCAAGTTCGGACACGTAGTTAAATTCTGCAAGGAAGTGGTAGCTTGCTACAAATGTGGGGTGATCAGACACGAAGGCAACGCATGTAGGGAAGGAATATTGTCGTTGTAATAATAATAATGTAATATTGTCGTTGTAATTGTAATTGATGGTCGCGGATGATATGCGAAGACATGAGGCAGTAGACAGAGAGTGCCCCGTATATGAAAGGAAAATCAGAGAATATTCGGGGAGGGTTGATTATGGGGAATGAGAGTACTACAGGTCAATTTGGGGAGGGGAAGGGAGGCAACGAATTTATTGGAGGTCAAGGCTAATGAGGGGGTCTACGATATGGTGATGATTCAGGAGACATGGGCTAAGGATAAGGGATGGGACTCATTTAGTAAGGGGGCTGACAGCAAAGTTGAGATTAAAATTAGAAAGGGTATTGGAGCGTTACTAGTCGAGGATCTGTCATGCAGAAATAGGACCACTGTGGCAACTAACAATATGCTTATAAGTACAATCTATGATGAGCCTGGGGGTAGGGCAGTCAAGGCCATACAAGATATAGATTGGGGGAAAACAAACGGGATCAGGGGTAGATGGGTAGTGGCTGGCGACTTTAACGCTAAGAACGAAGCTTGGGGGGGTAGCGTTACGGATGAGCGAGGTGGCGAGCTATTGGAATGGGGGATCAGGGGTGGGTTTCGATGCGCCAACAATAGAATGTCGCCAGCAACCTTTAGTAGTACTAGGGGAGAAAGCTGGGTCGACACCACTTGGGCTAGAGGGGTCAATGTTACAGAATGGAAGGTGCTGGTGGAGGAAAGTCTGAGTGACCACAGACTGATTTCCTTCAACATTGAGGGATCAGTCACAGGAGCCTTGACATACAGAACAACTAGGGACATTAAGGGAGCTGACTGGACCGGGATAAGAAAGGCGGTAAGGGAGTTACAGGTAGGGGCTTGGAACTTGCAATGTAAAACCGGAATCGAGGAAGCGGCTGAAAGCATTAACAAAGGATGTATGGGAATATGTAAAAAATTCTTCAGAAGACGGACTTTAAAAATAAAGAAAGGGGGGGAGTGGTGGGATCTGGAGTTGCAAGCAATGAGAAGTTCAGTGGGAAGGTTCCGGAAAAGTTGGCAAAGGGAAAGGGTAGGTGGAGGAGCGGAAGAATTGCGTAATAAACAAAGATACGTGGAAGAAAGGGCTAACTACAAGAGAGCTATTAGGGAGAAAAGAAAGGAATGGGAGAGGAAGATATTGGAAGAAGTCAGGGAGAATGAACCATGGGCCCGAGTCTGGGAAGTCCTAAGAAGAATAGAAGGAGGAAGAGGTAGGCAAATTGGTAACATTGAGGAGGGTCTGGACATGAAAGACTGGCATAGGGGTATGCTACAGAAACATCACCCCGGCATTAATACGCAGATGGAGAGAGAAAGAGAGGTATGGGACAGGTTGATTGGAGACGCAATGAATGAGGGAAGAAAGGTAGTAGAATTCTCGGTAGGGGAGGTAGATAGAGCGGTAGGAGGGTTGGAACCGGGCAAAGCCACTGGTTCAGATCGAATCCCAAACGAACTTGTTAAGGTCGTTTGGAAGGAGCGACAAGTAGACCTGGTGAGGCTATTCAACGCATGTTTGGGTGTCGGAGTATTCCCGAAGGTTTGGAAGAAGGGAGACATTACATGGGTACCTAAGAAAGGAGGTGGGGTCAGGCCAATTTGTTTGGTTGGCTCTCTTGGCAGGGTGCTTGACAAGCTGCTTGCTGAGAGGGTACAGCAACTGTGGGAAAGGGATGGGATACACAACAAACATCAGTATGGCTTTCGTAGAGGAAGGAACACGGTGGGTGCGTTGAATGGTCTCATCGAGGTCCTAGGATGCAACAAGCGGGCAGGGGAGCATTCTTTGGTGGTGGCGTTGGACCTGAGGAATGCTTTCAACACCGTTTGGGGACCTAGTTAAAGAGCTCAGAAGAGGTGGTTTGGGGGGAAAAGAGATCGCTGCTTGCTGGAGTTTCCTGCAGGATCGCACTGCAGCCAGCGGCGGTGTTGAGATTAGGGTTAACAGGGGATGTCCTCAAGGCTCCAGTTTGGGTCCGGTGCTCTGGAATGTGGGAATGGCGGGATGGTTCAGATATCTAGAGGAAATTAACAGCAGATTAGTGGCGAACAAAAACAGAGACTTACCAGTGGACATGTGGGACAGGAGGGCTAGAGTACATGTGCAAGCCTATGCCGATGACCAGGTACTGGTTGTTTCTGGAACATCGGCTAGGGAGGTTGAACATGTTTGGAGCGAATGCTGGGATAGCTGCATAAGATGGGCGGATAAGTCTGGCTTACAATACAATTTAACAAAAACCATGGGAATGTTCGTCGCAAAAAAGGGTAACGTCAGGGAGCCAGTGATTAAAATGGGGGATATCAAGCTGGACCTAAAGGGTCATATAAGATACTTGGGGATAGACTTAGATGCAAAACAAAACTTCATAGAACACCTGAAGCGGGTCAGAGCACGGACAGGGAAGGTCCTCTGTAAAGTTACAGGGAGAATTAAAGGGAAAGGAGCAATGGGATGGAAAAGGACCTTGAAACACATCATAGAGGGTGCTCTGAAGCCAGCAGTCCTGTACGGGGCTGAAATCTGGGGGGTACGAGCACTAGACTCTAGAGTGAGCAGACAGTTGGCAGCGGTAGACAGGATGTTCGGTTTGGCGGTTGTGCCGGCATACAGGACGGTGTCTACGGACGCGTTGTGCGTGCTGGCTGGGCTGGTACCTCTGAGCATCCTGTCTGCCGAGATGCATGCAGAATGGTACGGGGAAAGGGGTAGTAAAAGAAGGGACGCAGTGGTGGAACATAGAGAAGAGCCGTGGGCATGGGAAGACTGGGTTAAGGGGGGAATGGTTGAGGAAGGTATGAATGTGTGGGTGGATGGGAGTGTCAAAGAGGGGTATTCAGGGATAGGGATTGCATGGGAAAATGCCGGGGGAGAGTGGATACGGAAATCGTTTAGAGCGCCCAATGACCTCAGCTGCACAGAGGTGGAGACTCTGGCAGTGAGGCAGGGTATCAGGTTTATAGACGATATGAACATCAGGGGTAACGTAGTAGTGCGCACTGACAGCATGGCGACAGTCGAGCTAATAAGGGCCAGCAAGATAAGGAACAGAACAGTGCTAGAGATTAAGAAACGCATTGCGCAAATGTGGTCAAAGGATAAGAAGATTGGAGTGGTGTGGGTGAGAAAAGGAACGGAGATGGGCAACAGGATAGCCGATACTTGTGCAACTGAAGGTAGAGTTAGGGATAGGGTTGAGATAGAAATTGAGGGTTTGTTTAGACGAAAGAAAAATAGAATGGTCCTGGAAGAAATTATATTAAATAAATGGCAAGCGGCGTGGGACAGTAGTGAGAAGGGTCGGAATGCCTACCAGTGGTGCGGGAGGGTGGGACGGGACTTAGTCCCGCTAAGTCAGAAGGCGACACAGTTCATAACGGGGCATGGTAACTTTGAGAGTTACCTATACCGTTTTAAGCTGGGTGGCAGATTGAGGGGAGACTGTGTGTGTGGAGAGGGAGAGGAAGATGTTGAACACATCAGAACAACATGTAAGAGCCTAGACAGATGTAGAGGTAGAAGTAAATTCGGTACGGCGATCTTCCAAATTAGGGGGCTTAAGGGGGTTATTGAGGGAAGGGTCGAAACATTGAATAATTGGGCGGAGGCGGTGATTAGAGATTCGACGTGGCCGGTCTGATGCATATTCTTTCCCCGCTGATTTTTGGTGAGTTGGAGGTGGTGGGTTTCCTTGGGTGATTTCGCTCGATGGTGAGGGGTGGCCGAAGCCTTAGGGTATGTGGCCACGCAGTAATGCAACCCCTTCTTGCCCTAGTCGTAGTGGAGGACCGTCAGGAGGCGGATCTGGCGCGATTCCAAAGGCGAAGCACTGTCAGGTGAGACTAGTCGATGTTGTTGAAAATGCATACAAAAAAACTGGCGGTTATACAGGGTGATGTAAAACTTAAGGCGTATATATCGACACTGGGAGTGAACGAAGCATTATAAGGCGCGAAATGTTCGATACTCTTGGTGACGATATTAAAGTTGATCCATCGTCTGTGGTTTTACAGGATTTTGGCGGCGGTACGTGCACAGTGAAAGGCGAGGTAAAATTACCTATCATTGTGGACGGCATCGCAATACATGTTAAGGCGGTAATTGCAGACTGCGATCTTTTTGGCGCTGATCTTCTTTTAGGTCAACCGGCGTTAGCTACCCCAGGCGTTACACTAACGGTCACCGATGGCAAGGCGAAGCTCACTCGGGTTGACCCAGCAGTGGAGATGATCCAACAGATCACTTTGGAGGATGACAAGGCGATGGCGTTACGCAAGGTGCTATGCTTGGAGGACACAAGCATGGATCCTGGCGAAGAGGCAGACTTATTGGTGGTGGTGTATGGCGGAAAACAAGGCGAAAAGTATTGGGTACCTGTCAAACGGTTTGAAAAGAAGGGCACCGTATTGGCAATAGGCGGACAGGTACTGACTGGCGGTGAATCTTCCAAGTTACATGTGAAGAACGTAGGCGAAAAACAGATGATTTGGAAGACGGGATGCGTCATGGCGAGATGCACCCTTATAGGCGAAGTTACTGTTAAGGTAGGCCAAATAAGTTCTAATTCACTATTTAAACTTGATTGGAATACTATTCGTTTAGGCGATATAGGCAAAGATAATGTACACAAATTGCATGCGTTGTTAGAGAAGTTGGCGGTTTGTTTCTCTGTAGGCGATGACGATTTAGGCGTGACTATTCTGGGGGAAATGAGAATACAGTTGACGACAGATAAGCCAGTGGTGTATAGGTCTTATAGGTTGTCTTTTCCTGAACGGGTGATAGTTCGAGAGAAGGCGCAGGACTAAGGCGTTCAGGCGTTATACAGGGTTATAGAGGCGTTATGCAGGGTGAAGGCGTTAGACGGGAGAGGCGATATAATCGAAGGCATTCAGGTTCCAGTGCATGGCGATTCGGTGGCAAAGACGGCGTTTGTAACTCCGGATGGACATTATGGATACCTGAAGGTGCCATTTGGGTTGGCGAATGCCCCGGCGGTGTCTCAAAAGGTGGTTAACAAGATGCTTGGCGGTATGCGACATGGTTTTGGTTCTGGTGTGCATGGATGATGTCTTCTATAGAGGAAGGTTTGTCGTTGTTGGAAAAGTACTTCAACTTGTAGCCAAGACGGGGCTTAAGTTGAATCTGGCGAAATGTATCTTTTTGGCGAATTCATTATTTAGGCATGGCGAGTGTTGCTATTCGGCCGGGTAAGAAAGCATTGGGCGCACAGGCGGCTGATTCCATTAAACCTGCATTAATTCAAACGATTTGTTTAAATTGCTGTTAATTGCATCCTTCCTAACGGTTAGGTACCTGACTACCTAACTCCACCCAGGTAATGTTTTTGCCAGCCCTTATAACTGCGCAACAGATCGTTTAGTTTAGTTGCTATTTGGTCGTCAGCGAACGTACATTTCAGTAGTGATTTTGATATTGTGTATTTTTGTAAAACTATTATTGTGATTTTATTTGTTATCATGAACTCTATACCTTCTATACCTCTATACCTTTTGCAAATAGTACATTTCCAAAAGCTTCCACGTAAAAAATTTTACACCAAAATATTCCTTATTAAGTTGACATTTGGTGGGATTTAAAAAATGTTGCCCATTTTTGCCCTTTTCGGTAAAATTGAATTTTTAAAAAAGCTTTGAAGTGGTACAGGGTGTTCGCGTTTATTTTGAATTCTTCCTTAACTTGTTTGTTTTTTGAGATAAAACCATGATTCAAAAAACATTTTGAAGGGGTATTCATGAATGTTTTCGCCGTTTAGTTTTATTTTATACAGGGTGCCCAAAAAGTTTGTCATACCAGATTTATCGTTTTTAACAGTGGAACGCGCTGTATATTACAGGATTTTTGAATTCTACATACTTTTCTGATTACAACCATATAATATGCATATGGTATATTGTTGTTTCAAAATATACACATCCTATCCAGTATGTAACAAAAATTTGACAAGTGCGACTTCTTTGTTTTAGGATCGGGTTCTAATGAACTGTCTTTAACTAGAGGATTTCTCGTTGATGTAATGAAACAGTCAGGTTATAAAAGACTGGAAGATCGGGGTACCTATTTAAGAGAATACTTGGAAAAGCGTACAAATTGTCCTACGCAAAATCTAAACGAACTCCGCCATATTGTTTCACATTTTATGGCCCAATTTAAAACTAGATGGGAAAATCGCACAGAACATTTGACAGATTCACAGCAAATAATGATGAGTGGCTAAAGACATCTATAGCCTTTCAAATGTATGAGCATGAGCAACCTACAAAAAGGAAAGAATCGGCGCGCGGTCGCGGTCGCCCAGAGTTGCCTTTTCTTGAAAGTTCTGAACGATCTAAGAGAAAAAAGACTCAAGAAATTAGAAAACGAACACCGCTTCACGAACTTACTTATGCAACTCAAATGAGCTTGAGATCCTCTGGACAAACCGAAGCCGCAAAATTAATAAAAGAAGTAACAGAAACAACACCCACACGCGCAAAAAAATTCAGAAAGGCAATGAACATTTACAATAAAACAAAAACTTATGTCAGGATAGCTTAATTTGCTTTATATGTGGAAGCAAAATTAACACAGCACCAGTACAACCTTATCAGGGCTCAGGATAAAGAAAGATTTCCATCTTATAAAGTTTTGCAATAACAAAAAAAGGATGTTACCCAAACGTAGATAATAGAAAAATAACTGCGACTTCTGCTGAAGTTAGTATGCAAGACCTGCTTGATCACACCGCAGAACGAGTAATTGAAGTTCAAAAGATGATTTCTGACTTTACCAGCGAAACTATTAAAAGACATGCATCTAATATCAAAATGGGGTTTCGATGGCAGTTCAGGTCATAGTTCTTATAAACAGAGATTTAGTGACCCAAACCTTGATGATTCGAGCGTTTTTATATCTTCATTGGTACCTTTACGGATGCTAACAAATTCCAATTTAAATTATCATGATCCTAAGGCAGTAATATGGCAAAATCCACGTCCTTCTTCGACAAGGTTTGCTGCCCACTAAAATTAATTTTACAAAAGAAACCACTGAACATTCAAAAGCAGAAAAAAACCGAATAGACTGTGAATTAAGTAATTTAAAACCCACGTCCATTAATTTTGGAGATGAGATTCTGTCACGCCATATCCTTTATTTTTTTTCCATGGTGGACGGGAAAATCTGCAATGCACTAACAGATACTAAATCCACCCAAAAGTGTTTTATATGTGGAGCAACATCGAAGCAGTTTAATAATATTGATGATTGTTTATCACGAGATATGATTCAAATTTACAATTTGGGCTCTCTACATTGCACAGCTGGATACGTTTTTTCGAATGTATTTTGCACATAGGATATAGAATGCCCATAAAGAAATGGCAGGCACGAGGAACGGACAACGCTCTAGTTGAAACCAATAAAAAACGGATACAAAATCTTTTTAGAGAAAAGTTAGGTTTGATTGTAGATAAACCAAAGCCGGGGTTTGGGTGTTCCAATGACGGCAATACCGCAAGAAGATTTTTTGAGAATGCGGAAGTTTCTTCAGAAGTAACCGAAGTAGATGTCACTTTAATCAAGCGATTCCACACTATATTAATTACAAATTCAAGTGGATATGACATCAATCTTGAAAAATTTAGAAGTTTCGCTTTAAATACAGCTAAACATTTTGTGAACCAATACCCTTGGTATATAATGCCCCCAACTGTGCACAAAGTTTTAATTCACGGCCCTGAAGTTATCTCTTCAGCTCTCTTGCCCATCGGCCAATTATCCGAAGAAGCGCAGGAAGCCAGAAATAAAGACTTCAAAAAATTTAGAGAGAGCTTTTCCAGGAAATGTTCAAGAGAGAAATGCAATGAAGATATTTTAAATTTATTTTCATTAGTAACTTCAGATCCAGTTATATCCAGCATCAGACAACTCCCAAGGAAAAAAATTAGGCGATATCCAAATGAAGTTTTAGAATTAATCGAGGCCCCTGATGTTACGATTAAAACTTCCGAAGAAATTCAAAGTGATCTATTAGAGGCAGACAGCGATGATAGTAATATGGAAAGTGATTTAGAAGCAGCCAGCACTGAAGAAAGTTTGTCTTCTGACGAGTAGAAATAAATTGTAGTTTTTAATTTTAATTGTATTTTTTGTATTAATGCCAATAAATAGCAAATACTGGCAATCTTTGTTTATTCTGTGTTTTTTATTTTATTGTAATCTACGACCATATTAAAACGAATTTTGGTGGAAATCTGGTTCTAAAACAGCGCGTCTGAATTAAGGCCACGTTTTCGCGAATTGGCCGCACTGTGAGGCGGTGGAAAATTTTCCAGTTCCTACTAATGTCCCTGGCGTAAGGCAGTTTATAGGTTTAGCAAGCTACTTTCGGAAGTTTGTGAAGGATTTTGCTATCTTTGCAAGACCCTTGACAAATTTAACCAGGAAAGATGTTTCATGGCGTTGGGGCGATCCTGAACAAGGTGCTTGTGAAAAACTTAAGGCGGAGCTGACGAGTAGACCAGTATTGGGTTTGTACGATAGCAAGGCGGAAACTGAGCTGCATACGGATGCTAGTAAGTTGGGCTTGGCGAATGTTCTAATGCAGAAACAGGCGAGCGGCGACTTGGTTTCGATGTCTTACTATAGCAGGGCTACCAGGCGACTGGACAGTTTTGGTATAGTTATGAGTTAGAAACATCGGCGATTGTTGAGTCTCTGAGGCGTTATCGTGTTTATATTGGTGTTCATGTTAAGGTGGTAACTGAGGTGGTTCAGTTGTTAGGGCGACCATGGCGAAAAAGGATCTTCTTCCTCGAATTGCATGATGGTGGATGACTCTACAAGAATATGACATGGCAGTTGAGTATCGGGCGGGTCACAAGATGCAACATGTGGATGCATTGAGCCGAAATCCTGTTGCTGAAGTTCTTATGGTGAACTTGAGCGAGGAGGATTGGTTTTTGACGGTTCAGATGCAAGATCCCAAGGCGCAGGCGTTGGTGAATAAGTTGACTGAATGTACAGCTGATAAAGGCGTAAAAAGGCGTGTGTACAAAATGACGAATGGGCGTTTGTATAGGAAAACTTTACTTGGAGATCGTTTATATGTACCTGCAATGGCGAAATTTAGCTTGGTACGTCAGTATTATGATGACATTGGTCATCCAGGCGTTGATAGGTGTTTGGGTTTGCTAAAGCAAACCTATTTGTTTCCTAAACTGGGGCGTTTGGTTAGGAAATATGTCCAGGCGTGTTAAAGCTGTGCTTTTGGCGAATGGCTAGGCGAGTGGTATGTTGCAGCCTATCAAAAGGGTGGCGATTCCTTTTGATACTGTGCATATTGACTACCTAGGCCTATTCTGTCGAAGCAAAAAGGCGTGGCGATATACTGGCGAAGGCGATGAAGACATTGCAGTCTTCAATGGCGATTCTCAAATTAAGAGAGGTGTTTGGCGAATTTGGATATCCAAGGCGAGGCGTGGCGTTTGGCGTACCGCGGGCTGGCGTTTACAGGCAAGGCGTTAGCTGAATTTTTGGCGGGGCGAGGTGTAAAACACGTGTTGAATGCAATTGCTACACCAAGGGCGAATGGTCAGGTTGAAAGGCAGAATCGTACTTTATTAAATGCAATAGAGGCAAGTGCAATATCTGAAGTTGATTGGGATGAAGGGCTCAATGAAATTGTTTGGGGTCTCAATCACACCGTTAATCAAAGCAGTGGGTTTTCCCCGACCCAACTGATGTTTGCACACGATGATGGTGTCAAATACGAGTCTGTCTGGCGATGTGCAAATGGCGAATGCACCCCAGGCGAAAGGCGAGACTTATGATGATATAAAGTCTAAACTTCTTTCACGGCGACAGAAAGCAAGTAAAACCTGACAAAGGCGGGGCGTAAAATGAAGGTGGTATTCGATCGAAGGCGTAAAGTTGCAACTGCAGGCGGCACCTCCAAGGTAGGCGATACCTATAAGGTAGGTGATCTGGTGTTATGGCGACAGGCTGGAACTTGATCAGGGAAAAAAGGTGTAAATCGGAAAATAATTAACAAGTTCGATGGTCCGTATAAAATGGCGAAGGCGTTAGGAAATGACAGATATGTCATAAAGGCGGTAAAAGGCGTAAGGGGTTATAAAGTATTTAAGGCTGTTGTGGCGGTTGATTCTTTAAGGCGATATTATAGTAGCATGGCGAGGCTATTAAAGTGAGCATGATGACAGTGATGGCGATGGCGTTGGCGTTGGCGTAGATCGCCAAAATCTGATTGATTTATTGGAGAGTTAAATTAATGAGGGCATTAATCTCTTTTTCAGGATGGCCGAATGTAACCAGTGATTTTTCCGAGGCGAAGGAAAATGGCAACGTGGCGACGGGCACGGCGAAGTAGCATCGGCAACGCTGCAAGCCACAGTCAGCTGGCGGGCGGGGGAAGCTATCTATCGGCGTCGGCGGGGGACGAATCATTTTTGGCGGACTGGTGATATTTTTACTATTATTAGGCGTTTAAATTGTTTTTAATTAGTTGAATAAAGGCGTGTTTACAATTTATCTGAATGAGCACTAAATGTGTATATGTAGTTGTCGTTACCAACAACATCTTTTATTGCTGCACTGAAATGTTTTATTACGAGACAAGGTAAGCCACGATACATTTGGTACTAATTTTTTCAGGTCTAACTCCATACTTTTTAAAAATATAGAATCAAGTTCGGATAACATAGTCGCAACATTGTCAACTAAAGGTAAATATTGGTACTTTACTCCGCCTGAAGCGCCTAAATTTGAGAGTTTATAGGTAGCAGGGGTAAAGAGCATCAAGTACCCTATGAACCGAGTTATAGGTGGTTCTGCTCTTACTTATGAAGATCTCTACACAATGTTAATTCAAATTGGGGAAGTTCTAAACTTCCAATCATTATCCCCACTCCCTTCCTCAAGATCCTGCGCCGCTTACTCCAGGTCATTTCTTGGTGAGAAGGTCGTTAACAGCACTTCCAGAATCAGACCATACTTCCGTTCCGGACACACAACTTAAAAATTATGAACATCTCCAAGCCATAGTTCAACATTTTTTGCAGCGATGGAACGTTGAAAAATCGACAGTTTAGTAGTTGTTAAAGAAGAAAACGTTGCTGTGAATAGCTGAAACACTCGGGGAATCATCCAACCCCAGCCTGATCCAGACGGCGTAGTCTTACAATAAAAAGTGTACACAATTTTTACCCGTTGTTACGCACATGTTCTAAATATAATAGGGGGGGGGGGGGAGCGCTACATCAAACTGTACTAAATCCAAAAATTTAGTTGTACTTTTGGAGTCCACGTCTATATTTATTGATGAGTCATTTAAGCGTACATCTGTATAGGGTAGATAAAATTTCAGAATTGACAGCTGGCCAAGAAAAATTAAGGCGGTTACAGAACATTGGAAAAACAAGACGGTGAGTTAAAGACAAAGCCTTGGCCACTATTAAAAATAAAAGTAGATAAATTGCTTTCATAAAAACTTTTAAGTACTATTATCATCGAGAACAGAGTTTGAACCGAAGGTTCCGTTTCAAGCGAAGGCATTGATAAAATCGACAGGATTCGTTTTTGAAATTTGAAACTACCCTGACAGGCAAAAAAATATTTGACCTCAACTCCGGTAAGCCAGTACCTCCAAACACCTACATTGGATTATATACCTATATACTTGGTAAATATGAAAGTATTAGTGGCAAAACTATATATATATATATATATATATATATATATATATATATATATATATATATATATATATATATATATATATATATATATATATATATATATATATATATATATATATATATATATATATATATATATATATATATATGTCAAGTCATAGTTTCTTCACAAAATACTAAATTTTTGTAAACAAATAATATTCTTGAACATTTACATGTCTGGGCTGGGAAGCATCCACCAGATCTGTTTTCATGAAGTATTATAAAACCTCTACTCAGTTCAAGATTTTCACTTCATGAAAACTAAGATCTAGAATATGGATGAGAGCAATAGTAGAAATAAAGCTAATACCGACAAGTTAAATTATACATCCTGCCAAAAACAACAACAAGTAAGATATACTCCTATTCGATAATTCGTTAAAGAAGAAAACTTCACTGCTATATACTTGGTAAATATTAAAATATTAGTGGCAAACTATCCATGTCAAGTCATAGTTTCTTCACAAAATACTAAATTTTTGTAAACAAATAATATTCTTGAACATTTCCATGTCTGGGCTGGGAAGCATCCACCAGATCTGTTTTCATGAAGTATTATAAAACCTCTACTCAGTTCAAGATTTTCACTTCATGAAAACTAAGATCTAGAATATGGATGAGAGCAATAGTAGAAATAAAGCTAATACCGACAAGTTAAATTATACATCCTGCCAAAAACAACGAAGTAAGATATACTCCTATTCGATAATTCGTTAAAGAAGAAAAACTTCTCACTGCTATATACTTGGTAAATATTAAAATATTAGTGGCAAACTATCCATGTCAAGTCATAGTTTCTTCACAAAATACTAAATTTTGGTAAACAAATAATATTCTTGAACATTTCCATGTCTGGGCTGGGAAGCATCCACCAGATCTGTTTTTCATGAAGTATTATAAAAACCTCTACTCAGTTCAAGATTTTCACTTCATGAAAACTAAGATCTAGAATATGGATGAGAGCAATAGTAGAAATAAAGCTAATACCGACAAGTTAAATTATACATCCTGCCAAAAACAACGAAGTAAGATATACTCCTATTCGATAATTCGTTAAAGAAGAAAAACTTCTCACTGCTATGTACTTGGCAAATATGAAAATATTAGTGGCAAACTATCCATGTCAAGTCATAGTTTCTTCACAAAATACTAAAATTTTGTAAACAAATAATATTCTTGAACATTTCCATGTCTGGGCTGGGAAGCATCCACCAGATCTGTTTTTCATGAAGTATTATAAAAACCTCTACTCAGTTCAAGATTTTCACTTCATGAAAACTAAGATCTAGAATATGGATCAGAGCAATAGTAGTAATAAAGCTAATACCGACAAGTTAAATTATACATCCTGCCAAAAACAATGAAGTAAGATATACTCCTATTCGATAATTCGTTAAAGAAGAATAACTTCTCACTGCTATATACTTGGTAAATATGAAAGTATTAGTGGCAAACTATCCATGTCAAGTCATAGTTTCTTCACAAAATACTAAAATTTTGTAAACAAATAATATTCTTGAACATTTCCATGTCTGGGCTGGGAAGCATCCACCAGATCTGTTTTTCATGAAGTATTATAAAAACCTCTACTCAGTTCATGATTTTCACTTCATGAAAACTAAGATCTAGAATATGGATGAGAGCAATAGTAGAAATAAAGCTAATAGCGACAAGTTATATTATACATCCTGCCAAAAACAATGAAGTAAGATATACTCCTATTCGATAATTCGTTAAAGAAGAAAAACTTCTCACTGCTATATACTTGGTAAATATGAAAGTATTAGTGGCAAACTATCCATGTCAAGTCATAGTTTCTTCTACAAAATACTTAAATTTTGTAAACAAATAATATTCTTGAACATTTCCATGTCTGGGCTGGGAAGCATCCACCAGATCTGTTTTTCATGAAGTATTATAAAAAACCTCTACTCAGTTCAAGATTTTCACTTCATGAAAACTAAGATCTAGAATATGGATGAGAGCAATAGTAGAAATAAAGCTAATACCGACAAGTTAAATTATACATCCTGCCAAAAACAACGAAGTAAGATATACTCCTATTCGATAATTCGTTAAAGAAGAAAAACTTCTCACTGCTATACTCTGTTTTTTTTCTCAGGTAAGATTTCGACAGACGATGACAGAAGAAAAGCAGATGACGTCCCATACCAATCTATTTATTTTACTAAAAAAAGTTTCTAATAATTTTAAGTTATCTATGGATGGGTTTAAATATAAATCCGTCATGCGTCGTGTCTTGTTGTTTTTAACCAGTTTTATTGGTTTATTTAAAAAATGACAGATCGTATTTCAATTTTATTGGTTTGACGGAACGATGAACGACAAACGGACGCCGATGCGTATGAACTCGCCTTTAGATTTTTGTCATTTTTGACGCTTGTCAAAGTCTTGCCAAATTATTGGTTATAATTTTGTGTCAACTTTTGTTAAATACCCTGCATTTTGAAAGATGATGCATTTTGATTCGTATTATTACGTGTGTTTTGTGTCTTTTGAAGTCAAGTGGAGGAAAAATCGAGTGAAAATTAACTGTAGGCCCAGAGCACAGTTTATGGTTAATACACGCTGCCCAGGCAGAAAGTCTTATACACCAATGAAGTTGCCATCGATAAAGTTTGTATACCATTTCGTCGTAGATAAGTGCATTTCGTATATAAGGATCAAACTAAACACATACTAAAAACTGGAGTAGCTGTAAAATATCGACATCACACGATAGGTAAATAATGGATTTTAGTACTGGTGCAGAAAAATAATGTCAAAAGGTACTGGTTTAAAAAAATTAAGATTAAAGGTAATTAATCCACCTTTAAGGTATAAAATTTGGTAGGTGTTATTATTAATAAAATAGTTGTTGTATTTACCTATGTTGTTTTATTTATACCTGTGGAATATTACAAATTTGTATTTGTACATAAGTTATATTGATAAATATAATCATAAATGCGGGTAGTTTCATAAAGCTTGAAAGTAAATAATAGTTATTTTTTATATTTTTTTGGTATGTAGTGCCTTGTTCTTGTTTGTTTTGTATTAACACATACCGTTTTTATTAAATAAAATAACTCGATTACATTTTTTCAGTTTTATACAATTTTGAAGTAATCACTTGTCATCTTGTCAATCAAATTTTAAATATTTCCTGCTATGCGTTCCAGTTGTACCAACTTATTTCTTTGTAAAATAAAATAAACTACTTTGAAATTAAAATGACAGACACATCTATCACTGTCAAGGATCTTCTCGTTGGACAGACTATATATACTTGGTAAATATGAAAATATTAGTGGCAAACTATCCATGTCAAGTCATAGTTTCTTCACAAAATACTAAAATTTTGTAAACAAATAATATTCTTGAACATTTCCATGTCTGGGCTGGGAAGCATCCACCAGATCTGTTTTTCATGAAGTATTATAAAAACCTCTACTCAGTTCAAGATTTTCACTTCATGAAAACTAAGATCTAGAATATGGATCAGAGCAATAGTAGAAATAAAGCTAATACCGACAAGTTAAATTATACATCCTGCCAAAAACAATGAAGTAAGATATACTCCTATTCGATAATTCGTTAAAGAAGAAAAACTTCTCACTGCTATATACTTGGTAAATATGAAAGTATTAGTGGCAAACTATCCATGTCAAGTCATAGTTTCTTCACAAAATACTAAAATTTTGTAAACAAATAATATTCTTGAACATTTCCATGTCTGGGCTGGGAAGCATCCACCAGATCTGTTATTCATGAAGTATTATAAAA